TACAAATGTCATTTTTCACAGAACTAGAACAAAAAATTTCACAATTTGTATGGAAACACAAAAGACCCCAAATAGCCAAAGCAATCTTGAGAAAGAAAAACGGAGCTGGAGGAATCAGGCTCCCTGACTTCAGATTATACTACAAAGCTACAGTAATCAAGACAGTATGGTACTGGCACAAAAACAGAAATATAGATCAATGGAACAGGATAGAAAGCCCAGAGATAAACCCACACACATATGGTCACCTTATTTTTGATAAAGGAGGCAAGAATATACAATGGAGAAAAGACACCCTCTTCATGGTGCTGGGAAACTGGACAGCTACATGTAAAAGAATGAAATTAGAACACTCCCTAACACCATACACAAAAATAAACTCAAAATGGATTAAAGACCTAAATGTAAGGCCAGACACTATCAAACCCTTAGAGGAAACAGGCAGAACACTCTATGACATAAGTCACAGCAATATCCTATTTGACTCACCTCCTAGAGAAATGGGAAAAAAAATAAACAAATGGGACCTAATGAAACTTAAAAGCTTTTGCACAGCAAAGGAAACCATAAACAAGACCAAAAGACAACCCTCAGAATGGGAGAAAATATTTGCAAATGAAGCACCTGACAAAGGACTAATCTCCAAAATTTACAAGCAGCTCATGCAGCTCAATATCAAAAAAACAAACAACCCAATCTAAAAATGGGCAGAAGACCTAAACAGACATTTCTCCAAAGAAGATATACAGACAGCCAACAAACACATAAAAGAATGCTCAACATCATTAATCGTTAGTGAAATGCAAATCAGAACTACAATGAGGTATCACCTCACACCAGTCAGAATGGCCATCATCAAAAAATCTACAAACAATAAATGCTGGAGAGGGTGTGGAGAAAAGGGAACCCTCTTGCACTGTTGGTGGGAATGTAATTTGATACATCTACTACGGAGAACAGTAGGGAGCTTCCTTAAACATCTAAAAATAGAACTACCATACGACCCAGCAATCCCACTACTGGGCATTTACCCTGAGAAAACCATAATTCAAAAAGTCGTGTACCACAATGTTCACTGAAGCTCTATTTATAATAGCCAGGACATGGAAGTAACCTAAGTGTCCATCGACAGATGAATGGATAAAGAAGATGTGGTACATATATACAATGGAATATTACTCAGCCATAAAAAGAAACGAAATTGAGTTACTTGTAGTGAGGTGGATGGACCTAGAGTGTGTCATACAGAGTGAAGTAAGTGAGAAAGAGAAAAACAAATACTGTATGCTAACACACATATATGGAATATAAAAAAAAAAAGGTTATTGAGAACCTAGGGGCAGGACAGGAATAATGATGCAGATGTAGAGAATGGACTTGAGGACACGGGGAGCGGGAAGGGGAAGCTGGGACAAAGTGAGAGAGTGGCATGGACTTATATATACACTACCAAATGTAAAATAGAGAGCTAGTGGGAAGCAGCCACATAGCACAGGGAGATCAGCTCGGTGCTTTGTGACCACCTAGAGGGGTGGGATAGGGAGGATGGGAGGAAGACGCAAGAGAGAGGAGATATGGGGATATATGTGTATGTATAACTGATTCACTTTGTTATAAAGCAGAAACTAACACAACATTGTAAAGCAATTATACTTCAATAAAGATATTTAAAAAAAAAAAAAGCCAGCCTTGGAGGAACTAAAGCCTGAGATATTCCTCTTGATAATTAGCCCCTAAATAACTGCATTAGGTGTTTTCAGGAAGACTAAAAGTGCCCCAATTCATTCTTTGTTATAAATTAAATTTTGTTTTAGATGGACTGAATCTTAAATCTCATTAATTATTTGAAGTGATTTAAATTATTATTATTTTACTGTGATTTTGCACTGCTTAAAAAGTATGTCTGAGTTTTGCATTTTATCCCAAGCCAATGTTCTGAACCTAGAATACTAAGTCAAGGACTATTGTGCTAATACTCGCCTCTAATGAAAATATATACACGACATAAAAATAGTGAAGCATCTTTGTTATGGAGTGGAGGCTAGCACACCGTTGTAAAGCAATTATACTCCAATAAAAAAATAAGAAATAAAAAAAAGGAAGAAATCACGGATACATATAAAAAAAGAAAATAAGATAACAGAATAAGATCAAACATACCAGTTTTGATAACCAATATTTAGCTATATAGATAAAAGTTTAACTTTTTAAATAAAATAGAAAAACAATGAGAAAATGATTTTAAAAACACAATCTGGGGACTCCCCTGGTTGCTAAGTGGTTAAGAATCCACCTGCCGATGCAGGGGACAAAAAAAAAGAAAGAAAAATAGTGAAGCATTATGTTGCTTTGTTCTGGGACTTTACAGCAGGTGGAATTTGGGACAGCAGGAGGATTAGGGAAAGGCTCAGAAAGAATCACATGACAAGGATTTACAGCCCCGTCTCTACCTGTAACTTGCTTCTCCACCCATCTTTTAACTCTAGATCACACACCCAGCGATCAAAGCCCCTCAGAAGATGGCCTCTGGAGGAGAACAAAGCCTCCACACCTGAGGCCCAGCAAGGTGCTTCTACCCTTCACCAGGTGACAAAGTCACTCCCAGGCCAGGAGAAGGAAGCACAGCTGAGTACTGGGGCCCTGTCCTGGAGTAGGCAGAGCCAGAAAGGTGAGGGGCCCCTGACCCCATCCCCCCAACAGCTTTCCTTCTCAGGGTCACAGAAGCCAGAAGATCTCCACCAATTTCTACTTTATTTCTCTGGTCTAAACCACAGCCTTCTTTAGCCTGTCTTTTCTATGAAATTGTTCTAGGAGGAACAGAACACTGAGACATCAACACTTTGGTGGGAATTCATGAGCAAATCCACAAAGGCTGCCTGTGAGAGGAAAGCTAAGAAGAAACTGTAATTGCTTTACAAGTTTTGCCTATTTGTCCCATCTGAGCTCAGCTCCATATCTGTCAACGGTGATCGCGACCCTCTTAATTTCCACGGACCCCCATACCCCCTTGGAGCTGATCTTTCTGTGGGCAGGTAAGTGCTGTACCATGGAGCTCTGTCTTGAAGCAAAAGCAGCAGCTACCGCTTGGATGGTGAGTACATTTCACACTTTGTAGATGCTCAATGCTTTCGAGTCACTTTGATAGGAAAAATGCACCTTCTGGGTTGCTGGGCTTGTAACTCTCCCTACTCGGTGTAGTGACCTCCTTGTCCACCAGATGGCAGGAGCTCCTCATGTCTACAACTGTGGTTCTCAAAGTGTGGTCCTGTACTGGCTTCCAGGGAAACTAACCAGAAATTCAAATTTTCAAGTCCCACCCCAGATCTACGGAATCAGAAAGTCTGAGGGTGGGGCACAGGCATCTATGTTTTAACAGGTCCCCTCCAGGTGATTCTGATGCAAGTTGAAATCTGGTCCATATCAGGTCATCAATAAAGCTGTTCTCTTGAAAAGAAAAATATATACTGTGCCTTACACACAATAAGTTCTCGAACACTTGATGAGTTAATAAAGGGGGACATAAAAGACTGAAGGAGACTGATCTGAAGAGGAAAGCTTCATTTGCTACCGGGAACTGCTTGCTCAAGGGGCAAGGGTATGAAGCCACATCTCTTTCCCCTTTGCCGCACACAAAAGATTGCTGGAGTCTCCCCAACCCTGCAATCCCTTAACCAGTAAATGAAACCAATCTTGGAGGTGTGGGGTGTGGGGAGAGCGCCTGCCGTTAACACTAAAAATTCTTTCCGATGATAACATATCTGGCATTTGTCTTAAATAACCCTGGGAAGGATGGATGAAGCAAGATGGGCCATGGGCTGACAATTGTTGAACCTGAATATTCATTACAAACCTCTCTACTTGTACACATTTGTAGTTTTCCATAAAGAAGTTTTTATGAAACTAGAAAAAAATTAACAAAAAGCCTTTCAAACAGTAGCATTTTAAGAATTAAAATATGCTAGAATGCTTCTTAGCCACTGAGAAGAGTGAATTTTAATTATTGTAGTCAGATGGGAGGAAGAAATCAGAGAAGTCCATATCAGCAACACTTAATCGTCTTATAAAAAGCTAAAGTGGGGCTTCCCTGGTGGTGCAGTGGTTGAGAGTCCGCCTGCCGATGCAGGGGACACGGGTTCGTGCCCAGGTCCGGGAAGATCCCACATGCCACGGAGCGGCTGGGCCCGTGAGCCATGGCCGCTCAGCCTGCGCGTCCGGAGCCTGTGCTCCGCAGCGGCAGAGGCCACAGCAGTGACAGGCCCGCGTGCCGCAAAAAAAAAAAAAAAAAAAGCTAAAGTGAACAGAAAGGTGATCAATGAAGAAAGAAGCAGGTCAGAAATTTCAAATAGGGTCAGAAAATTAGAAACAAGGATCAAGGTTTGAAGAAAATGTGACTAATTTCATTCAATGTGAGCAAGGTATCACAACAGATACCTTATATGGAACCACAAATGGCAGAGTTAGACTTGTAAGAACCCACTAACTATATGGAGACATTGAAGAGAGGGGGAAAAAATAAATTTCTGAATCCCTGGTGTTCAAATAAGAACAGAAGGAGCTAGCCAGGATTAAGATGTAGATGCAAATGCAAAATAAAGAAAAGCATCCATTAAAGGGGGATAAAAGAACTAATTCATCTACACTGAATAAACTAAAAGAGGGAAGGAAATGGGAATCATCAAATATTCAGGAGGCATTAAAGAAGTAATGATCCATCTCTTGAAAGGAAAAAGCAAAGCAAACATTCCATCTGACGCTCTTTAATATCACTGAGTGGGTCTCAACCATCGCATAATGTAGCATGTTTGCTGACCTCTGCCTTTTTCTTTTGTCATCAGTTATAGGTGCTTTTTTTCCATGGAAGACAGAGGATCAATGTGTAAAGTGATCCACAATAGCACTTATATCAAGTTTGGTAGTATTAAACTATATTACATTCTGCAAAGCTTAAATTTTGAAATAATTCAGCAATCCACTGACTTACTAGAATGACAATTACATACCTTCAATTTTATTTACTGAAAGATCCAACTTCTGCAGGTGAATGTATCCACAGAGGATGCTAATGTCAATTAAATCAAGATCCTGAGAAAATAAAAGGTAAAAGATTTAATGTTGCTTTAACAGATGAGTACTCAGGCTTCTCAAGACATCTGGAAACAGAGGTTGACAGAAATCCAGAATTTCCTTTGAAAGTACAGTAGAAGTGAGAGAATAAAATCTGAAGCCTACTACCAATAGGGTCTCAAAATAGACTACAAACCCCATCAAAAAATGCATTCTTCTGAAGGAAATAATAGCTTGGAAAATTAGTGTTGTTAGCAAGAACATACACAACGTGAAAAGGCAAATTAAAGCAGTGTTCATGAAGACCTTTAGAGCGGAGTTTTATATTTAAAAAAAACCCACACATAAAAGCAATAAAGCCAAAGCCTTTATCTAGTAGAAGAAAAGAAAAAGCAAATGCCTAGAATTCAAATGAAATGTTAGAAGAGTTCACACCTAATCGAGTGATCATTAATAACAATACTTCTTAGGCTTCCTCAGGCTTCAAAGCTCTCTCCCAATGATCTCATCTGATCAAACAAACCTGTGAGATCTGTAGGGCAGATTATCCCCAGTGTAGGGATGAGGAATGTGAGGTACAAAGAGGTAGGTAAATAGCCTAAAATCACTTAGCAAGTTAGCAACACAAAAGCAGCTCCAAGTCTCCTGAATCTTTGTCCCAGATCCCTTCCATGAAATCTTGATTCTAGTGAACATCACGAGGGGTTGGAGGGGAATTTGGTCCCTTGGAACAAAGACTCATGTCACTGGTTTACGTTGTGATGTCAGAGTCAGAAAAAGCCAACCAAAGTGTCATGATAAGCAAAAGCGAACCGAAGTGTCATGATAAGCAAGTTCTCTAATATAAGAATGATAATAAAGGCCTCTAGAACAATAATAAGTAAATTACTGATGACCTACTACATACAAGGCATTAAGCTTGGCATGATGAGAAACACGTACAGTGTTGGGCTAGAGTTATATTTTGCCTTTAAGAAACTTAACGACTTTGGGTAGGAGAGAAACTGTGTACACAAGTAATTAGAGAAAGTTAGAAAATTATGTGCAACACAAGTTAAGACATAAGGCGGGAAAAATCACTAACCTGGCCAACCCTAAGAAAGTGTATTCAGTAAGACAGGCTATTAGGGCAAAGTAATTCAACATGTAATATCTCAAATGTAAGGAGGTCAGTGGCAAAGTAAGAAGCTTCAGTCCATCTAGCTGAAATAAGATTTAAAGGATTGTGCTTTCTTGTAGATCAGTTTAAGGTGTAGCACTACGTATATACGTAGAGTATTGATTGAAAAGGACTTGTGTACAGATGTACCGCTACTGGAATTATCTTCCATTCCAAAGTCTGACATAGTGCAATGCACACAGGGTCCCTGTACATTACTGCCTGACTGGCTGAGTCATCCATAAAATGCTGTAAAGTGAAAACAGTAAAAGATTAGAGCCTTCGTATGCTGTTCTCAAAGGACATGCCATGAAACCAGCATGGGTAAAAAGGGTTTAACATTTGTTGGACAGTTTACTAGTTCAAATCCAAGATAAAACAGCCTTGCTATGAATTATATATGCTTGAGGCAAATTAGGGTGCTGTAGCAAAATTTCAGTGTGTTTTTTTCACCTACATATCTGCATTTACTCTGTGGACCTTCAAGGAGCAGTTAATGCTTTACAATACAAGAAAGCAAAAGAAATAAATTAATTTTCTAGGACTATAAAGAAACAAAATGAGGAAAGAAGCTGAAATACTGAGTACTCTGCTCTTACAGCTTCTCATGATAAATTTAGAGTCAAGATTCTGTGCTGGACCTACTAGAGAATGGACTTGAGGATATGGGGAGGGGGAACGGTAAGCTGTGACAAAGTGAGAGAGTGGCATGGACATATATACACTACCAAACGTAAAATAGCTAGCTAGCGGGAAGCAGCCGCATAGCACAGGGAGATCATCTCAGTGCTTTGTGACAACCTAGAGGGGTGGGATAGGGAGGGTGGGA